ATATATATATATATATATATATATATATATATATATATATATATATATATATATATATATATATATATATATATATATATATATATATATATATATATATATATATACAGCTCTAGCAATATTTTCATTGTATGCTAAGTAAGTCTCAACATATCTTGATATTGTCGATGATTTTCATGGCTATTAAAACATAAAAATTCGAACTATAGAACTGGATTTCTCCCAATTCATAGACAAAATGTCTATTTTATCATTTGGTAAATGAATTTCAAGGGACAGTAGGTTAATATATGTTTCCAAGGATATACTAGAAGATAGAATTTTTCCAAAAATTTTTTCAAAGATTTTCTTGAGTAATTTCGTTGAATTTTATTGAATTGTTTCATGAAGGCAAGCAGATTTTGTAAGAAATTTGTAAGAACAATTAGCTAATATATTGTAAAAGCGAAATTAATTAAAACACCAAATTTAATGATTTACCAAATTTCGCATTATAATTTCACTGCCATACTGAGCACTAAGATGTAGCGCGGTAACACATGACTCATTCTGAGTATAAGCATTAACATCGAAACTGGTACTTATCAAGAAAAGTACTGATTCTAAATCAACTGCTTTCACTGTTTTGTGCAATAACATCTCTCCATTCATATCCACCTGTAAATCTAAACACACTAAAAACTTGAACATCAAAATCTAAACACCCTTTCCCACTAAATTTTTGATGCTACACACTTAAATATTGTTATATACTGAGTTCAAGAGAAAAGACCTGCGTGATTAAGTTCGGTGCTTTTTTGATAAGAGTCTCAGCCGCCAAATAATTACGTGTTTTGATCGCTACATCCAGGGGTGTATTTCCGTGACAATCCGTATCCAGAAGCAAACCAGGATTACAATTACTCAATAGTTCACTGAGGATTATCATGTTCTGTTTACAAACTGCTAAATGGATAGCCGAACAACCCTCTGCGTCCTAAAGTTCAAGAAAAATAACTTTGGAAATTCTGAAATAAGCAATAAGATGAGCGCAATAAAACTATTACCTTCCTGTCCAGTCTAGCTCCTCGTTCAATTAAGCACAGTGCAACATCGTTAAAGTCTAAACGAATGCAAGCAAGCAATGGAGTGTCTCTATTCCACTGCTCTCCATTAATCTCTATTTGTTCAGAGGCATCAATATCGCATCCACTACAATAGTTTAATTTACTTTCATTGTAAACTTAGATCCTCATAAAACCGGTATGTCGAAAACTCCAGAAGTCTCACAAAGACTTGGAAAGTCTGCTGTATTTGGCAAGTCAAGATTGCGCAATGCAAATCACAATTTCGTTAGTAAAGCAGGTTAAACTGAGAATTTTAATAAACGGCACCGTCAGCTTTTTGCTGTGTAAGGCCATATCTCATCTAAAGATGTGCCATTAGTAAACGTCATGTAAACACCCGCAAACGCCAAAATCCTTTACCATTACTATGGTTATTATGGTAAAGGATTTTCAAACGTTACCAGATTCCTGATTCTTGAAGAAACCACAAAGTTAACTGAAAAGTGAAGAGAAGAAAAAGGACGAAATAAATTGTAAAAAAAAAAATTAATCTCACGCATCAATCAAGAAAATGGCCGCGTCACGCAACTCTAAAGAGATCGCTTTGTGCAGCAGTGTTTGGCGACTTTTGCGACTTTCATTGCAAAACCAACCGTTCAGATCGCAACCATTCTCAATTAAGGCTTTCGCGACTTCAAATGAGCCTGAATCTAGTTATGCAGTGCTCCATATACTAAGCAGCCAAGACTTATATTCATTAAAAAACTCGTACATTTCACTTGATTTTTAGGAAAAAAACTGGGCAATTTAAAGTATTCAGCAGCTAACCCTGTTGCAAAGCTTCCCATAACAATGAAGCATTCATATACTTTCCGCTGTCTTCGGTAAAAGTACAAAGATGGCGAACAGTCTTGAGGAGCGAGAATTCAACAGCCAAAGAAAAACAGTCTTTCTCGAAAATGCTATAAAAGATTTATGCTATAAAAGATTTTGGAAAGGATGATCACGTGTGTAAAGAAATGCGTAATAATATTTTTAAAGAATTTTGACCTAACTATCAATAAGTGGAGTAATAAATTTAGAAAAATTGGACTTTTAACAAAAATCTGAAAACTTAAGGACAATGTAAGGAGTTCTTACCATCCTGAAATATCCGTTCCATGATTCAACAGAAATATTGCAGCGTCATCCAATTTGTTACTGATAACTCGCATCAGAAGAGATATTCCTTTCGGATCCTTTTCATCGACGTTAGCTCCAGCTTTCATCAAAAGCTCAGCGCTTAGGAACTTACTACTAAAGACGGCTTTTGCAAAAGGAGTATGACCGTTCGCGTCTACGATTGTGAAAATATCGTCTAAAATCGCAAGGATCACAAGAACTGGCTATTCATTCCGCTCAGTAATTCTCCTGATGGAAGTAGCAGTAGTACAAGACGTAGAATAAAGCCAAGCAAAAGTTCACAATTTTAGTATTACCAGAATAAGTAAAATGCGATGATATATATCTAAAAATAATAAAACAAACCATTGCAGGTGTCATTCTCGATGCAAACTTTTAAAATTTCATCGCCGTTTTCTTTACCGATGATGTAGTGAATCAAAGTTTCATGAGCATCAGAAATTTTCAACGAAATATTTGCACCAGACCGCATAAGTATTCGAATAAGATCCATATTGACATTTTCGAAATCTATCGCAATTTGTAATGGAAGCATGCCCTAAACACTAATCAAAAAAAGACACAATCTATTTTGAAATTCAAACTAAACAACAAATATTGAAAAATGAAAATACTTTTTATTTACAATTCATTCAGTTCTAATAAAAAAATTTCAGGGTGAAACTAATAAACATAAATATGTACTTCTGTTGTTCTTTTATTCACATCCACTTTGTGCCTGCATAAGAATTGTACTGCCTCCAAATTATTTGTATGAACTGCATGATGAACCAAGAAAACACCTATAAATAGACAAGCTTCTAAAAAATGTTTACAATAAATTCTACTGTTTCAAAGAATGCTTGATTTGTCTGAAAGCAATTTCCTGCATAAAATTAAAAGGATTCGTAGTGCCTACCAAAGTGGCTATCATATCTTGATATATTTTATTAAGTAAAAGCAATTTTTGTTAAAATCAATACAATTTTGAAAGTTACAATAACAACCTAAGTTTACCGTATCCTGATAACCTTTCTGTCTTCTCAAGCTTATTTCGGGTTAACGGTTCTCAATCGAACTAAAAGCCCAAGAAATTAAAGTAACTCAAGTTAATCGCATCAAACTTTCTAAGTGATGGGAAATCTACTGAGTCCAATCCATCTTTTGGATACAACAAAAACTTTCTAATATACTGGGGAGAATGAAATATATGAAAGAACTATCTGCATCATTTTTAATCAAATGGTACTGGTTATGAGAAATCAGTCTGAAATTAAACAAGAATACAAGGGCCTAAAATACGGAAAATACCGTTATGTCGTTATAACACACCTTTATAAAGGACGTTTAAATCAGCTCCCGATTTTACAATCAGCTCCGCTAACGCCATGTTTCTAACTTTGAAGAGCGCGGATGCCACAGGCGAACATCCGTTCCGATCCATTTTATTGACATCAACCGTAGGTTTTTGTAAAAGTAATTCAATCATTCTGAGATTTTCCGAATCAACGGCTCGCACAAGTGGAGTCCTCAAAGCAAGAACAACTAGTGAAATTCTGAATAATATAATATAATATAATATAA